GAGAATCAGAGGTTATCAGGGAAGATGTGAATGCAGGATTCAAAATGCAAACAGATCAGCCATGACCTTGTTGAATTGCTGAGCAGGCTCAGGGAGCTGAATTACCTTCTTCTGCACCCATTTTCTATGTTTATATGGTCTCGCTCTGTACCTATCTCTCAATGACTGCTCCCATTTTGTGTTGTAATTTTAACGTAATAAAATGTCGTAAGGGCTGCTATACATCAGAATATTCAAGTTTGGAGTTGGTACAGCACAGATAAGCGGTTTCAGCAACAGGTATGCTGAGGCAATGTGGAAGTCAGATGGTGTTACAGTGTTGAAAACAGACTGTCTAAGTGACAGGCATTCAGAAGTTCCGCTTGAAATCAAATTAGTCAATACTACAAACAGTTTGGTTAAGTCTTCGACATTTGCCAGGTAAAGAGGTAGATTTGATGATGAGGGAACAGTATTTATGCCAGGAGCTGAGAGTAATGGCTTCTTTAGACCCTATGTTTATCTAGAGAAAATGTTTCTTCACCTAATATTGGATGTTTGATAATTATCTTCAGTTTTTACATGGAAACTGACGTCTTGTTTTCAAATGATGTCACCCACTTCTCCCCATTTCTCTATGCCTAATTCACCCAGACTCTTCTTCAGGCTCATGTCTCCCATCTCTCTCCTCTGTATACCCATCTCTCCTCTCTCTCTCTCTCTATATGTTCCCTTTTCTCTCAGCAGACTTTGCTTTATAGCATAACTGCACCGTTGAAGCATTTGAATTGACGAGCTACTTTCGTATACATTCTTTGCAGTTGAATACTGAAAATAATTTCATTTTTATGCATAATAGGGCAGCACGGTGGCTCAGTGGTTAGCACTGCTGCCTCACAGCGCCAGGGATCTGGGTTCGTTTCCACCCTGGGCGACTGTGTGGAGTTTGCACATTCTCCCCGTGTCTGCGTAGGTTTCCTCCGGGTGCTCCGGTTTCCTCCCACAGTCCAAAGATGTGCAGGCTAGGTGCATAGCCATGCTAAATTGCCCGTAGTGTTCAGGGAGGTGTAGATTAGGGGGATGGGTCTTGGTGGGATGCTCTGTCAGTTGGTGTGGACTTGTTGGGCCGAAGGGCCTGTTTCCACAGTGTACAGATTCTATTCTATTCTATAATATCAGTGAATCACAATCCTGAATCTGTGGAATAGCTACTACATTGATCATTTAAATTTTTCATTTAAAGTTTGTTGTGTATGTTTAGGTATACTTAGGTTTACTCCAAATAAACTTGTCCGTATTCTCTTAGATCAAATTAGATCTGGAAGGATGATTTTGCCCAATAAAACTAATCCCATCCAGTCTGACAACAGTGGGTTGCGTGTTTTTAGCTGTGTGATATGGGAATCTGCTGGTGGATTGTGGCAATTTCCTTCCTGCTGCTTAAAGGTTGTCACAGGGATGGTGGAATTCAAGGCAGCGACATATGGCAGCTTGTGCCAAGGAAATTTGAAGGCAGAAGGAATACAGATAAGCAACTAATCAATCAGCTAGTTATAAAATTGAATTTCACAAATTCCCAATGCAACAGGCAGTAGCCAATTTATCTCCCACTGACTCGAAGCCCTGATTTACCTTGCTCAAATGTACCCAGTGTCCCATAAAATCGGTTTACCAGGTCTAAGCACAGATCTACCACTGTCCTAGCTCTAGATCCCCAGTTTACCAAGTTAGTTCACTTTGATTTCTGCCTGTGCACAGAATTCTGGTCTCAGTAACTGCTGCTTGATGACTTCACAGAGCGGAAAGAGAATGAGAGATGCAAGTCGCTAGTTATGTCATTCAGCCCTTGTGTCCTCCCCTTTGCAGTTTTGCTTATCTGTAATTTACAACCATTAAACAACATTGCTTATATTCTTGCAAAATCTGAGTACTGTGTACAAGTATTCACAGTCTGCCCCACACAGACTAAAGGACAGCATAATGGTTATTGTCTGCAAGCTTTGTATTTCACAAAATATATCTGGGTATTTGAATGTGACCAAAATACTTGAGCTTTAATAGGAAAAAAAATTGAATAACTTTATGTTCAGTGCTCTTTGCAGCCAATGCCTGTCTCCTTCAAGTTTGGTGGTGAATGGCAAAGAGTTTGAGAATACCCTGTTAAAAACTTCAAATCTTCCAAACACATTAGGTTTAATTAACATGTTCTCCATGTCTTTTCATATCCATTTGAGAAGAAATGTTTTAATATAAATTTCTGCAAAATTACTTCTCTAATAACTTGACATTTTCGTGGCAATTTGCTTGCTTGCTTGCTCATCTACAGTGAGCTGCTGAGTGATTTGTGGTGTAACGGTTTATTTGCCAGCAGACTTTGGTTTCCCTGGGCCTCAGACAAAGCTCTCTGCAGGCTTCAAGGCTCAGCTTGCGTAACAGGTAATAACAGGCATTTCCTGCCCCTGGATCGGGATATCCTGGCGCCCTCCAGTCGCTCATCACACTCTGAGTAGACATTGGGCAGCAAGTGCAAATTGCTGGGAGCTAAAATTAGCAGCTCCACAGAATGGCATGGTTCTCCAGTTCTCTGATTGTCAATGGAATAGTGTATAAACACAGAGACTGCATTTCCTCCTCACTGAGCGAGTAGAGATCCACAAAGAAATCTCAGGATTTCACACTGGAAAGAATTTGTATTGGAAATCCAGTTGGCAAAAACAACTGTTTAGCCTTTAACATGTAACTTTAAACTGAAAAGTTTCCCTTCTCTCAGCCATTCTTTTATTTGAGGATAATTAGCTGATGCATTAAATAATTCATTTGTTATGTCTCATTGACTCTCACTCATCTGTAAGCATTTCACCTGACTCCCAGAATATCTTTGAAAGACTGTTGGAGGTCAATGTGAAGAAACTTTCTAATAATTGTGTGTGTAGAAAAATAGCCAATTGTAATGACTATGAAAACTAAATTCTGATCAAATCTTAGCAGATCTCAGTATGTACTGCCTGGGTGTCTTTAATCGTTCAGTCATGTTCCAGATTTCAAAGCTGTTGTCCTGCACAGTGATTATACTGTGATCAGGGTTGTTAAGAATTACAGGATGGGATCAGAAAATTGTACCAGTTAGAGTAAAGGAATTCTTCTGGTCTTTGTGAAATTCTTAGTCTTGGGAACACCTTATAACTGAATGTGCAAGTAATACTATAATTACTTATTGCAAAAGGAGAATAATCATCGATGGTGAACTACTTAGAGTCATAGAGTTATACAGCTCGGAAACAGACCCTTCAGTCCAACTTGTCTGCGCTGACCAGGTATCCTCTAAACTGAAGCAGTCCCATTTTCCAGCATTTGGCCTGTATCTCTCTAAACCCTTCCCATTCATGTACCTGTCTGGATGCCTTGTAAATGTTGTAATTGTACCAGCTTCCACCACTCCTTTGGCAGCTCGTTCCATACACGCACCATCTGAAGGTTGCGCCTCAGGTTCTCTTTAAATCTTTCCCTTCTCATTTTAATCCTAAGTCGTCTAGATTTGGACTCCCCTACCCTGGGCAAAAGACCTCGACTATTCACCCTATCCGTGCCCCTCATGATTTTATAAACCTCTATAAGGTCACCACTCAGTGACCGATGCTTCAGGGAAAAAATGTCCCAGCCTATTCAGCCCCTCCCTATAGCTCAAACCCTCCAACCCTGGCAACATCCTTGTAAATCTTTTCTGAACTCTTTCAAGTTTAACAACATATTTCCTACAGCAGGGAGATCAGAATTGAATGCAATATTCTAAAAATGGCCTAACGAATGCCCTGTACAGCCGCAACATGACGTCCCAACTCCTACACTCACTGCACTGACCAATGAAGGCAAGTGTGCCAAACACTGTCTACCTGTGACTCCACTTTCAAGGAACGATGCACCTGCACCCCTAGGTCTCTTTGTTTGGCAACCCTCCTCAGGCCACCTGCACACCCGCGTCTCTTTGTTTGGCAACACTCCCCAGGCCACCTGCACCCCTACACCTCTTTGTTCAGCAACACTTCCCAAGGCGCTACCATTAACTTCCATCACAAAAAAGTGTGTCTTGCAGCTGTGCTTGCTCCACAGGTAGCATCTTCTCTGCATGTTGTTGCACTTATGAGAGGTTCTTCAAAAGAGGTTGGGTAGATGATCTGCATCTGGAGATTACCACTAATGCACCCAGCTGATTCCTAGAGTGAGCAGTGGTTACCCACTATCAGAATTGGGATTTCACTTAGGCACAGCTTTTCTGATCATAAGTCATGAATGTTTTGCAATTGGAAATATGTTTCTACTACCCACGCTTTACCTACATGTCAGTGTAATCCAGAGGTGTACTGATTTTGGCCTAAACTGAATATTGTCCTCTCACATGCATTTCTTCAGTATTTTTGAAGGTGAACTGAGATAATTATCTACCTATTCCAGCAATACTGGGAAGGGATTAAACCTGCCTCCATGATCCCCCAGGCTTGTATTTCAATGCTCCACTAGACTCTGCCCAATCTGTGAAGTGTATTTGTGTAAGTTTAAGTGTTCAAATATACATGATATATTTTGCTGAAAATACCTTTCATTGCTTGTAGTGCATGCAAGGAACTGAGTAGACATGAATTTGTAGCAGTGCAGCAACACTCGATGCTTGCACATTTTGTGCCGTATGCTAGAGTGTGGGACTGATAACTCCATAGCTCTGAATTTTCATCCTAGCCAATTGTCTTTGTTTCAGTTGCAAGGCAATGGGGATAAAGCAGGGAGTGAGATTAATTGGATAGCTCTTTCAAAGAGTCAACACTTGCATGCTGCACCTCCTGTGCTGTATGAAATTACGATTCTATGATTATTGATAGTTGTAAAATTTGGCAACTGATGGACCTTACCAGAGTGAAGGTAGGTAACTAAAAAAGGTGCTGTTGAAGTGACCATGAAACACTATCAGTTTGACTAGTTTTGGTGCTGCTTGTACAATTTCTAAATGGGAAAGTAAATGTGTTACTCACTGGACAGCTGAAACAGAGCAGCTATGGCCTCTTCCCACCACTGAGAATCCTGAGTAATGAGTGGCAGTTCCATCAGTCCGAGGAGGAAGATGAGCTGGCCAACAGTCAGAGCCACTGTGGCAATCAGGTTACAGGCTCGCATCATGTCAAACTGAACTGCAGGAGATGGAGACAGTGTGATTAATTAGAGAAGATTAAAGTACAGTCCACTCTGTCACGTGTTGCCTTAATAGATAATACTCAGTTGAAGTAAACAGTTAAGAGCAAAGTTATCAAGTATTCTGTGACTGACCACATGATAACTGAAAATAATTAGTGACCATCCTCAGCCCTCATGTGTGCACATTCTCTGTCACGATACAGGACACAGAGGTATGGGCTATCAATACAGCCTTGGCAGTAATGATTGGTTTTAGCGCTGACTAATGCAGGCAATGTGTTTATTGTGGAGAACGGACGACAGTTTCAAGTTTGGGAAAGTGAACTTGGTTACTTTGGAGTAAAGAAGATTTGGGTGTTGGTAAAAGCCATGACCTAGGCTTTTAAAGCAATGAGATGGAGGCACGAGCTGGTGTTTAAATGAGTTTGCAAGTTTATATTTAGTGGCACAGGTTTAAAACTAAGCAACCTAAAACGGGAATAGAGATCAAAAATCTCTTTCCCTACACAATACAAATATTTGGAACAGAATGCCAAATTTTTTTTTCATTCACAGGATGTGAGTGTCACTGGCTGGACCAGCATTTATTATCCATCCCTAGTTGCTCTTAAGGTGGTGGTGAGCTGCCTTTTTGAATTGCTGCAGACCCACAATGCTGTTAGGGAGTGAGTCAGGATCTGACCCAGCGACACTGAAGGAACAGCAATTATATTTCCAAGTTTAGATGGTGAATGGCTCGGAGGGAAACTTGCAGGTAGAGGTGTTCTCATGCATCTGTTGCCCTTGTCCTTCTAGATGGTCGTGGTCATGGGTTTGGAAGGTGTTGGAACCTTGGTAAATCTCTGTAATGAATCTTGTAGAGCGTATGCACTGCTGCTACTTAATGTCAGTGATGAAGGGAGTGAACGTTTGTGGGTATAGTGCCAATGATCCATCACACTGCTGACTGGTGCCTTGTAGATGGAGGACATGCTCTGGGGAGTCAGAAGGTGAGTTACTTGTTTCAGGGTTCCTAGCATGTGAACTGCTTTTGTAGCCAAAATATTTATATAGCTTGTCCAGTTCAGTTTCTGGTCAATGGTAATCCCCAAGTTGTTGATAGTGGGGGATTCAGCAATTAAAACAATTACAGTTGCATCAATTCACACAGATTAAATAATAGAATACAGGTTCAATGTAGAATAACACAGTTCTAAAAAACATTCCTATTGTACTGTCTCCTAGGTTAAGGGATAAAATCAGCAATGATTATGTTCAATAATGAAGCAGACATGAGAGGATGTGTGATCTGATGCTGTCCTATTTATAATGTTTTCATTTTATGAAGAAAATAGATTTTGTCAGCCTTCAACCAATTTAGTAACTAATTCTATCTGCAAGTCTGGCTTGTCTAAACCCATTATAACACTGGACACTGGTGATCCAACAGATTCAGAACCTACAATGAATCTTAACTTTTCCTATTTGGAATGCATTAAATTATAAAAACCTTATTAAGATCTGTCCTGCATGTCTAGTTTCAGACAGACTGGGCATGCCCAGTCTATCATTCAGCTGTAGCCGCTCCATACAATTCAACGTAAAATAGAGATTTTGGGTTGGGTTGTTGGAAAAAGGCAGGGAGTCAATACCCTTACAGTTTATTTTTCAGCAATAATCTCTGTTCTTCCAACAAATATTGTACCTTGTTACTGTACAGTATCATCATAGTAGCTTTACACAATGTTTAAGCCACAATAATGAAAAAATTAATTATTGGATGATGTAGTGAGTTTCCAGTGAGTAAATGCTGTAATGGAGTTTCTCAGTAACATGAACAATTTCACACCCTAGCTTCCCAGCGAAATTTCTATTTGAGAATGAATATATCAGAGTTTTAACAAATAATTCTTTTCCCTTGGTCACCCTTGAAATATAGAGATTTGGCAGTATCATGTTTTAAATGACATTTTGCCCATTTTGAAAGCAAAGTTTCTCATAATTTAATTGTTTTTTATTTTCTATAGTATTGAATTGTAGAGTTGATGATTACTGTGTTCCAATGTTAAATACTTAGTTTGGTGTTCAGTTTTGGTGTTGATGAATGATATTGAATCTGAGCTTCATTTAACTCAGGTAGTCACTGCAATTCCTCAATTTTCCCATTGGAGTGGAGATGCTAATGTCCAGCACTTCAAAATTCTACACTGACATAGCCAAGTCCATTCATTCATTTTGGCCTTTCAATTTGTTTAAAAATAGGGATCCCTTTAATTTATTTATCAAACAGCTTTCAAAGTATGGAATATGGCTTATGTTATCCCTTAACTTGCTATATTGTGGGCCAATATTCAAAGACTTAGTGTTTATTCTATTTGGTTGGTAGTTATATGAAATGTTCACACAGTATTACTATTTGGTGAGATAGCTAAGGTCTACAAATGCCTTAATAACTCACAGCCTCAAGCAATAATGATAACTAAGTGTCTCTAGGAATTGAGGTTCATTAACTTACCCCCTCACTGACCATACAACAGTTTCATCAAATCACCCCCTCGGGGACAGTACAGGGATTCATTAACTCATTGCTTCCCAAACTATTTTTGTTCTGTGACTCCATTTTAAGGCTTGAAAATTGTTGCAATCCCTCAGTGAGAACTATTAGAGCTGGAGCTCAGGTGTATAGCTGTTAGATGTTTGTCAGAGCTCCACGGTTTCCATTGCTGCCTCAGAGCTTATGTCCTCACTTGGTGTCCGTCTCCTCCTCACCCCACCTTTGGGAGGCCTTGCATTAACTCAATCTCTCATTAACTGTAGCAGTACACAGGTTTCATCAATTCCCACCCCTCACTGATTGATAGTACAGAGATTTCACTAACTCATGCTCTCACTGATAGTATAAAGTTGAGTTAATAATCCCTTTAAATATTAACAGTATGAGGAATGTACAATGCAGAGTTGAAAGGCAGATGTTTCAATGACCTTGCCTACCCCAAAATGTTAAAGGAACTCTTGTAACCATTCATTTTCCTAGCAGTAAAGGAACAGTAGTCCATTCGTGTCCCTGCCCATAGTCCACAGTAAGACTATAAGACCTAAGAGTATAAGTAGGCCATCCTGCCCATCTAGTCTGCTGTGCTATTCAATGTGATCATGGCTGATCTGATAATCCCAAACTCCACTTACCCTCGATTCCTTTACTGATTTAAAAAATGTCTATCTCAGCTTTGAACATACTTCGCAATCTAGCCTTGACTACCTTCTACCGGAAATAATACCTCAGATTCACTACTCTCTGAGAGAAGAAATTTCTCCTCATGTCTGCCTATAATGGGCAATCCCTTTCTTTGAGATTATATCCTCTGGTCTTAGACTTTCCCACAGGGAAAACAACCTCACCACATCTACCCTGTCAAGCCCCTAAGAATCTCATACGTTTCAGTAAGGTCTCCTGTCATTTTTCTAACCTGCATTATGGTCCATTCCTATTGAAGTAAAGGCCAACAGTCAACTTGCCTTGGCTATTATCCGCTGAACTTATGTGCTAGCTTTCTGCCCCAGCTGTAGATAAGAGATGTATGGACTTACGTTTCACGGTGTTCCGAGATTCTTGAAATCCAGCATGCTCTGATCCCCAGTTTAAATTCTCACAGTCACGCTCCAAAGTCTGTTCATGCCTTGTTGGCCCTTTGCCTTTATCGATCCCATAACACATCTTCCACAATCCTACACTGCGCTTTCTTCCATCCTCCAGGGCCTGATACACCCAGTTTGGAGTGAATGCTGCTGCATTGTTGAGAATCAGAGACAGAAGAGCCACTGCTACAGCAGTAGCCACCAGCTTTTGGACAGTCATACCCAGCTGCTTTTCCTCAACTCCAAGACAGCTCTAGTTGCCAAGTGAACACAAGGAAGCTTTTTTATTTCTACACAAATCACACATGAATTAGACATTAAGGAGCATCTAGAGCTGTCTAAGAGTTGCTAGAGAAGCTGAGCATTCATTCTCGTGTCGACCAGTATCCTCAATAAGGATGTCTCAGATTTTGAAAATACTTTAGGTGCTTAAGTTGGGTGCAAGTGAACGTGGTTTATCCGCCCTCTTGCGCCTTCTTGACTGGAGACGCAGCGGTGATAAGCTGCCGTGCATGCAGGTCCATCCCTTTTGTTGAAGTTTTGTTGATGCTCGAAGTGAAGATCTTTGAGTAAAGCTGGTGGAGGCGAATGAGTGATCTCCTGGGTCTGTACACCTTTTTGTCAGTTTGTTGAAAAGCAGATCAACTTGCTGTCCAAGGCAGTTTTGTGTAATGTTTGTTGAGATTGCCTTCAGCTTAAATCAAAATATTAACAATCACAGCAAAGCACCATGCTGTACATTAAACAGTTAAGCAAAAATTGAGCATCTTGTTGAAATAGACTCCATGCTTTGGGAGTGACACAATCCTGACATACTGATAAGATACCAAAAAGAAAACGACTCTGAAAGTTAGGAGGAAACTGTTGTTTTTCTAACTGTGTTGGTGAGTCTTTGGGCGTTGCTGGCTGCAACAAATATTCAGTAGTCCGACTTCACATTCAAACATTAACAGGATGTGTTTCCTCTGAGGAAGGGACCCGGACGACAATCAAAGCAGCTTTTCCAAATCCTGGCTCAAATAATTTGGAAACAGCACAGATTCTCCTTCTGTGTTCTGTTATACGGACAAGGTCACTGTAAAGGAAATGAAAAATGAGCAATGGCAGCAAAGTGGTCCATTGGTTTCTGCCCTAATACACTGAAATTTGTGATAGTGTGCTTCTAATATATTCTAACTCTTCAAATAGTATTTAGTTTCTAGGTTAAAAAAAAAATACTGAGAGAATAACTGTACATCTCAAAGCACAAGTTCAGTAGTCAGCCTTTTCCTGAGGCCTCATTTTATGGTTCATAAATGTATGTCTCAGACAAAAGATCACAATAATATCATGTTAATGACGTGTTCTACAGCGTGTAGATACTTTTGTCTATCTCCTTACATTCAGTCTTTTTCTCTCTCTCACTTTCTTGCTCTTTTTTCCTGCCCTCCCTTGGATTCTTTTTCTCTTTCTGGCTCTTTTTTCTCTTTCTTGTTCTCCTTCACTCTCTACCCCTCTTTTTCCTTTTTCTCTCTCTCTCTCATTCACATGTTCTCTCCCAAATTTTCTCACTTAATATCTCTTTTTTATTCTTGCTTGCTTTCTCTCTCTACCCCTTGTTTTCTTATGCAGCAGAAGAAAATGTGTGTTATGACAGATGCCAGGCTGGAGAAACGAAAAACCAGGTTGAGTATAGATGGTTTAGAGGAAAAATTAGAAGGCAAATAAGAATAACAAAGGGAGTGTACGAGAAGAGACTGACCAAATAAGGAGGAATCTATAAGTAATCAAGAGGTGATAAAAGGAGGTGGAGTCAATTAGAGACCAAAAAGGAAATTCACAAATGAAAGCAAGACATGAATTAATTGTTTTGCATCTGTCTTTACCAGGAAAGTAAATGCTACACAGGTCATGGCGAGAGAGAAGGTAATTCAGCTACGAGGTGTCTGAATTGATAAGGAGACGTTATTGGATAGACTGTCTATACTTAAAATTGATCATGCACCAGGACCTGATGAGATGTGTCCAAGAGTACTGAGGGAAGTAAGAGTGAAAATTGTGGAGGCTCAGACCATTATTTTCCAGTCTTCTTTAGACTCGAGTGGTGTCAGAGGACTAAAGATTGCAAATGTGATACCCTTGTTCAAAAAAGACTGTAAAGATAAGCCCAACAACTACAGGTCAATCAATTTGATCTCAGTGTTGAACAGGCTTCTATAACTAATAATTTGGGACAAAATTATTAGCCACTTGGGTAAACATGAACATATGAACAAGGAAAATAAGTAGGCCATTCAGCCCACTGTGTCTGCTCCACTATTAATAAGATTGTGACTGATCTGATTGTAATGTCAAATCCATGTTTCCACCAACCCAATAACCTTTCACCCATAGATTTCTAAGAATCTATTCAACTTTGCTTTAAAAATATTTAATCTGCTTCCACCACTTTTCCCAGAAAAGACAAAGACTCATGTCTCTCTGTGAGAAAAAGAAAATTTGCCTCATCTCTCTTTTAAATGAGCAACTCCGTAAAGGAACTAAACCCCTCAGCATTTTATATATTTCAGTCAGGTTGCCTCATATTTATCTAAGCTTCAGATACAAGCCAATCCTGTCCAATTTTTCCCCATAAAACAACCCATCCATTCCAGGTATTGATCCTCCTCTGAACTGTTTCCAGTGCATTTACTTCCTTCCTTAAATAAGTTGACCATTACTGTACACAGTAAAGTTGTAGTTTCACCATTGCCGTGTATAATGAAGCATGGTCAGAAGTCATTGACACTAGATTATAGTCCAACAGATTTATTTGAAATCGTAAGTGAACTGTCTTCAGCTGACGGAGGGGCAGCATTCCAAAAGCTTGTGATTTCAAATAAACCTGTTGGACTATAATCTGGTGTCGTGTGACTTCTGACCTTGTCCACCCCAGTTCAACACCAGGACCGCCACATCATAACTGAAGCATAACCTCTATACCTTTGTATTCAGTTCACCTCACAATAAATTATAGCATTCTATTAGTTTGCTTAATTTCTTGCTGTTCTTCAATACTAGCATTTTGTAAGTCATGCAGTTGGACACCCAAGAACCCTTTGCATCTCTGAGCTTTGCAGATTCTTGCTGCATTGATAATATGCTTTTTTATTCTCCCTGCCAAAAATGATAATTTCATATTTTCCTACATTATACTCCATCTGCCAGACCTTTACCTACTCGCTTAATCTATTTATATATTTTGTAGCATCCTTACATCCTCTTCACAATTTACTTTCCTACTATCTTTGTGCCATTAGCCAATTTGACAATTATACCTTCAGTCCCTTCATCTATGTCATTTATATAAACTGTTAATAGTTGAAACTGTAGCATCGACCCTAATGGGATACCACTTGTTGCATCTTGCCAACATCAAAAAAACCTATTTATGCCCACTCTCTGCTTTTTGTTTGCCAATCAATCTTCTATCTATGCCAATATCCTACACCCTTTATTTTCCACAATAAAATTTGATGTGGTCCTTTTTCAAATGCCTTTAGGAAATGTAAGTACAGTGTATCCACTGGTCCCCCTTTATCCCCTTATTTCCTCAAATAATTCCAAGAATTGGTTAAATATGATTTCCCTTTCGCAAAACCATGTTGGTCTCTGCCTAATCATCCTAAACTTAAATTACTGCTATAATTTCTTTAATAATAGTTTCTAACATTTCACTGTGACAGATGTTAGTTTGCTGTTTCCACTTTTTTGAACAGAGAAGTTAACACTCTACATTCGCTATCTTCCAATTTAATTGGACTTTTTCCCGAATCCAAGAAGCTTTGGAAAATTAAAACCAACATATCAACTATCTCAATTGCCACTTCTTTTAAGACCCTAGGATGAAATCCACCAGGATCCAGGCAGTTGTCAACCCACCATTCCAAAAATTTAGTCAGTACCATTTCTACACTGATTATAATTTTCTTCTCCCCCACCCTTTCATTTTCTTCTTTATAGCTGCTTCTGGGGTGTTACTTGTATACTCTATAGTGAAGACTGCTTGCAAAATGCTGTTCAATTTATCTGGCATCTCTTTATTTCCCATTATCAATTCTCCAGACTCACTTTCTACAGAACTAATGCTCACTTCGTTAACAGTTTCTTTATAAACTATTTATATAATTCATTTTAATTAAAGAAAACCAGCATGGATTTTATAAAGTTAAATAGTGTTTAACTGACCTGCTGGAGTTTTTTGATGAGGTAACAGAGTGTTGGCTAGGGTAATGTTATTGATATCATGAACATGGACTTCCAAAAGGCATTTGATGAAGTGTCACACAACAGACTTGTGAGCAAAGTTATAAATCATGGAATAAAAGAGCCATTGGCAACATGCATACAAAATTGGCCAAGTAACAGGAAACAGAGAGTACCAGCTAATAGATGTTTTTTGGACTGGAGAAAAATTCAGTGGAGTTTGTTAGAGGTCTGTGTTAGGACCCTTGCTCTTACTGATGTATATTTGCTGGCAAATCAAAACTTGGAAATATTGTGGAGGAGAGTGTAGAACTCCAAAAGGTCGCAGCGAGGTTGGTGGAATGGACAATCGAGTAGCTGATGCCATTTTAACGCAGAGAAGTGTGAAGCGATCTATTTTGGTAGGTAAACATGGAGAGATGATGTAAAATAAAGGTTCCAATTCTTAGCAGGGGTACAAGTCTAGAGGGACCTGGATGTATACAAGCATACATCATTGAAGATGACTGGACAGGTTGATAAAGCAGTTAATAAATCATTAAGCATCCTAGGCTTTATTATTGGGCCAAAGAATACAAAAACAAGGACATTATTTTAACCTTGTATAGAACACTGATTGGCCTTAACTGGAGTATTGTGGCCAGTTCTGGGTGCCACACTTCAGAAAGAGTGTAAAGTCGCTGGAGAGACTGCAGAAAAGTTCACGAGAATCGTTCCAGCGATGAGGAGCTTTAGTTACATGGACAGATTGGAGGCATTAGGGCTGTTTACCTTGGAGAAGAAGATTGAGAAGAGATTTGATCAAGATTTACAAAATCATGAGGGGCCTGGACATAGTAGATGGTGAAAGGATCGAGAACAAGTGATCACAGATTTATGGCAATTGACAAAAGTGCTAGTGGATACATGAATAAAAACGTTTTTCACCTAGCAAGTGTTGTGGCCTGGAATGCACTGCCTCAGAGTATGGGGAATGCAGTCTTAATTGAGGATTTCAAGGGGGGAATGGATTACCTGGAAAGGAAGAACATGAAGGTAAATTGCTCCTTTGCAGACCCATTGCAGACATTTTGGGCCAAATGGTCTTCCTCTGTGATTTTGTTATGTGGATAGGCTAAATAACCAATATCTAAAATGTCCCAAGCCCAAATGCATATTAAAGGACAAGATGGCTACAACAACATGCAGCAGTGGTTTATTTCTTCAGTGGTAGTTGCCATTATCTCATATACATTTTCTGATTACACCTGATCCCAGCTTCAGTCTGGCATCTGCTGTAGAATACCTTCTCCAGTCAATTCAGTCCGAATGTATCAATTTGTAAGATCAACAACACAAAATAATGAAAGTCATATACCAAAAAAACCCCAAATTTATTTACTTGGTTCATTGAGGAGACAATAATGCCTGGGCAAGGAAGACAAATCCAGCCTGCATGAGGGGATTATTAGACAAAGGAGATGGGCCTTCTCAAGATGTGGAAAAGGCAGGTCAGTCAAATTAATCTGTAATTGATAGCTGCTATTGTGGTTTCAATGATTCTTTTTAAGTTTAGAATTTTTAATTTGCAATAGCTACTTTGATAACGTAAGGTAGAAAGTCGAAAAATACACTGTAAAGTCAAACCTCCATTACCCAGTTATGTTTAGAGACCATAAAGATGTAACGTTACCCAGTTATGTTTAGAGACCATAAAGATGTAACATCCATACTAGATTTTACAGCATATAAATTACATTTCGGATTTACAGTAAACCATTCATGTTTTGCATCCGCCTGATTCGCTTCATCCTGTTTCATGGTTCATACATCCAGAGTATGTTGCAACTCAACATTACTGTTACCACAAATAGTTTCAGTACTTTTCTATTTAAATTCTATTACCCACACATCTGCTCTCTATTAAAAGCCAGTTGCTGTTTCCTGCAGGTTAGGTACATATGGTTGTCATTGTTTTTAAGTCAGAACACAGGAAGAATCCTGAGCACAAAGACTTTGAATTTTTCCGCAATCTCTCTGGTTTAACTCTTTCATTCTGAAGCTATGCATAGCCAGGAATAGAATGTCTCAGGACATGTTAAATCTGAGATGAGGGCTCTTTTCCCATTTATGTGTCATGCTCTTTCCACACATTATGTCCTGATGGAAGCTGTTATATTCACCACTCACTGAATATTGAGTAAATGAAAACCATTCATATATCATCCATGAACCTATATTTAGTCTTCGTATTCTTTCTGTCATGCAGAAAAGGCGGGATCACGGCTCAAACATTCTTTGAATGCCTTCCCAAGCACTAACTGTTCTTTCACACGAGCTTCCCAATCGTCTTCAGATAACAAACTACAGGCAGACCTCTCTTCATCTGTGCAATAAACTGTGAGAAAACAGTTCCCAATAATACTAGATTGTATGTTAAACAATGAAGCATTAAAATGTTTAGAAGAACTTTAAAGTGTGTAGTTGGTTTCCACGTAGTAGATGTCAAAATACGACTTGTCCTAAATTGATAAAGTAATAGGCCATTAATCTTTGTAACTTCAAAATCTGAAACTAATTATAGCATGGCATAGTAGTTAAACATTCCTCATTGCCCCGACCAACAGGTCAGAGTGGGGCACTGAGTTGGAGACATCATCTTTATGTCTACATGACACGCTTTCAAATCCTTCTTTGTCAGCTTGGCTGAGTGTAATCAGTCTAAATGCCATGAATAAGGATATTGAGTTCAAATCATACTACAGGACCTGAGTATTATGCTGTCTTTCAAATGAGACCTGTAAGAATGAAAAAGGCAATATCTAATGGATTTTTAAAAAAAATGTCTTTGCTACCTCTAACAGTTTCAAGTGAACTGAGTTTGGAAGAATCTCAAAGCATCAAGAATGCAGTTGGCATAGGTTAACACTCATATTCAGGGACATAACCCTTCTGGAGACAGTGTAGAGTTATCAACAGTGGAGAAACAATGTCTCCAGTAATGTTCTACAGAGGAAAGAAAAAAATCCAGAATTGTACTTTCCTCTATGCATTGCATATTACAAGTAGTAGTTAAAATACAGAGCACACTTTTTGTCCAGTGCCTGCAAATATTTCTGGTTAAATTTCTATACTTGTATAGAATAAAGTAGAATAAGATGTAGAATATGGAGCTGTCAGAATTACAACATTCATCAGCTTTTAACTTTTACTGGATTTAAGTGAAGAGTGAATTTTGAGATCTCTGTTATATATGTATTTAGTAGCAGTTTCTCTGACCAATCAATGGGAAGAAGAAAGAAATACTTGAATATTGTACTTTTCACAACCTCAGGACAGCCCTGTGTTATATAATCAACACAATGCATGAGAAAAGATTTCATTGCACTGTTGGTTATAATGTAATGCTAAAGCAGGGAATATTTCCAAACTTACACAAATCCCTGGGTAAATTAAATGCTATAGTAACTGGTTGCTTTTTGAAATAGGCAGTTTCATGACCTGTCTCTAGCCCAGTTCCTGAGATCGAAGCACAGGTAGCACTCCCTTCACTCTCACGGTTACTGGAATTACACACATCCATTTGCTCATTAATGTTTGACATATTAAAATGCATACTTGCCATATATTAATCCCATGTTGCAAATAATGTTCAGTTTTAGTGAGTGGATGTGTTGTATGATGGGCAATTCATACGGTTAAATATTTAACTGTTAGCTGGTTTTAATGTGATTTCCTCAGTCCTCCAGCCAGTGCTGCAGATGGCACAGGGTTGTGGACTGTTGTCACAGGGCTGCTGTTTACTAATCGATGTTGATGTTTTTGTAGCATTTGAGTGTTTAGTGATTGTGTAGTTAATCACATTAGAGGCTATAGAAAGTCAACATTTAAGTCTTAACTTCGATCCCAGTCAGGAGAGAAAAATAGAGATAAAGTCAGATAGTGTTCAGGGCTACTTAATACCTGCTGAAAAGGTTTCTTTAGAGCTTTGTTGCAAATTTGAATTAGATTGCATAAAAGAATCCAAGTACAGCTATTTCACTACACAAGATTCTGGATAACTGATCTATGCACTAAAATAAAACAAAAAACTGTGGAGCTGGAGATCTGAAACAAAAACAAGCGGTGCTGGAGAACCCTAGCAGGTTTGCCAGATTCTGTGGAAGGAAAAGCAGAGTTAACATTTTGAATCCAGTGACCCTTCATCAGAGCTAATGATGAAAGGTCACTGGACTCAAAACCTTAACTCTGTTTTCTCTCTACAGATGCTGCCAGACCTGGTGAGTTTCTCCAGCACTTCCTGTTATGTTGATCGTTATGCAGCGTCTACTGCTGCCATGTGTCCCTCAATTCCGTACAGTCTTGCAAAAAAAAATAAAGAAGATTGGCTTGGAATAGTAAGGCTGCAGACTTAAGTGAACACTGTAGCTTGATTTGAATTTGGCCTCAGTTTCAATGGAGTCTCTGCTCATTTTGATTCAGTACTTATGTACCAAGATCCTGTTATGACAGACTTATCTCCCAATATACTATCAGCCTGCAGTTTACATTATATATTACAGTGTGACAGTCCCAGTAATGTCAAACAATAAAATATATTGCAGGAACAGTGGCCACTGGTGAGTTGTCACTCAGTGAAGCTGTGGGTCTGGTGTTCTCTCCTTGTAATATCTAGATCAGATTTGACATTTGCAGAGTTGCATTTTCCTCATTATTTTCAAAATATCTTTGAGTCTGCTTCCAAAAATGTAGCCTGGAAAGTGCATCTCTATGACACTGAATGCTGCTAAGCCACACTAGGGAGGGGCATATAATTATTGGTGATTCTCATCCTAAAGAAATAAGTCAGCTTTGATTTAACTGAGCAAAAATACTACTAAATTTCAAAAGGACATCCTTCCAATGTTCCTTGAGTAATGCTAATTTAACGAGATTGGATGCAGAATGGGCTTCAAGAGATAATACTATTTAAATACTAAGTAGATACACACTTAAAGAACGGGTCAGATAAAACCCACAGGCTTCCAACTATTGCCCCATTTTATACAGCATAAGCATTTACTTGTTTCAGTCAACGGATATCCTATACTCCAAAAGCAACATTGCAGAATTAATAGTTAGATTCAAAATCAATTAAATTATTCCAAACTACCAGAACACCAATGGAATTGACAATTACATGGATTGTAAGTAAGAAGAGGTTACCCATTTGACGAGTCCACTTCTTCATCTGTTGCTGACTACAACCTCTGATTTTACGACAAACTCAATTTATAACTTGATTCCATCCAAAAAAATGCAAGTCTATGCTTCAGAAAACAGTGTGCTGAAGGTCAGCAGACAAATAGAAAAGAAGTAGCTTCACTTTAATGTTGTGCTCTGGGATATATACGCTGCTGTGATTTAGGCTGCTGTGCAAGCTCTGTACGTGCTGAGTTATTCTTCAACAAGTGTCTTCACGGAGTAAGCAGCAACCAGCCAGCTCCCAGCTGTGAGCTCTGACGTACAGGAAACCAGTCTGGGAAATGCTGGGGGAGGGGCGTTGGGGGGGTAGGGAGAAAGATGCATTTTAAATTTTCTGAATTGTCAAGGAAAAATATAATGAAAATTATATTAAAAATTCTAATCAATTCAAATGTCAAGATGCAAACCGTTTTTACCTGTTGTTTTAATCTCTTGTTTTTGCTGATGAATTAACTGCTGTGTTAAAAGCACTCAGCAGGAGGTCTGCTTTGTACAAATACAGCCAAATCCTGATAAACATTAGATCACTCTGCCAAGAAATACTCAACTGGGATCAACTGTGTTTTTCTGGAATTGACTGGGCTGTTCATTTATTGGACCCTTTTCTCCATTATCTATGCTGCATCAAACAACCAGTTAAGACCATAAGACATATCAGCAGAAGTAGGCCATTCAGCCCAGTAGTCTTTTGTGCCATTCAATGTGATCATGGCTGATTTGATAATCCTCAACTACATTTTCATTCCTTTGCTCCATAATCCTCGATTCCTTTACTCATTAAATATCTATCTCAGCCTTGAACATACTTAATACCCCAGCCTCTATGCTGTTTGTAGTAAAAATTCTACAAGTTCACTACCTTCTGAGAGAAGAAATTCCTCCTCATCTCTGTTTTAAATGGGCAATCCCTTATTCTGAGATTATGCCCTCTGATCCTAGGTCCTCCCACAAAAGAAAACAACCTTTCTGCATCTGCTCTGTCAAATCCCCTAGGAATCTTGAATGTTTCAAAAATGTTCTCTCATTCCTCTAAATTCCAGTGAGTACAGGCTCGACCTACTCATGCTCTCCTCATAAGACAGTCATTCCATATTTAAGATCAGCCTAGCGTGCCTTCTCTGGACTGTCTCCAATGCTAGTATATATTTCCTTAAATAAGGGTCCCGAAACTATTCATAGTATTCCATTAGGGGTCTGACTAGTGTCTTATACAGTTTTAGCAAAACCTCCCCATTTTTAAGCGCTATTCCCTTGAAATAAAGGCCAACATTACATTTGCTTTCCCTATTATCTGCATAACTTGGAACTAACTTTTTGTGATTTATGCACAAGGACTCCTAAATTACTTTGTTCTATAGTTTTCTGCAATCTTTCTCCAATTATGTAATATTCAGCTCTTATAGAGTCATAGAGTCATGCAGCACAGAAACGGACCCTTCAGTCCAACCAGTCCATGCTGACCATAATCCTAAGGTAAACTGATCCCACCTGCCTGCTCCTGGCCCATATCCCTCCGAACCTTTCCTATTCATATACTTATCCAAATGTCTTTTAAACATTGTATTTGTACCCGCATCCACCACTTCCTCAGGAAGTTCATTCCACATACAAACTACCCTCTGTGTAAAAAAAAAATTGCCCCTCATGTCTTTTCTAAATCTCTCTCCTCTCACCCTAAAAATGTGTCTCCTGGTCTTGAAATCCCACATCCTAGGGAAAAGATACCAGATTGAACTCCACCTGCCATTTTTCAGCCCATTGACCCATTTGATCAAGATCTCTTTGTAATCGTGGAAAATCTCATCCACTGTCTACTATGCCACCAATTTTGGTGTCGTCTGCAAACTTGCTAAACATGCCTTCTGTATTCTCATCCAAATCAATTATATAAATGACAAACAAAAGAGGACCCAGAACTGATCCCTGTTCTTCCTGCCAAAGTGCATAACCTAACGTTTTCTCACATTACATTCCATCTGCCAAGTTTTTGCCCACTGACTTAACCTGTCTATATCCCTTTTTGTGTCATCCTCATCACTTGCTTTCTCACCTATTTTTGTATCATCTACAAATCTGGCTATAGTACCTTCACTTTCCTCATCCCAGTCATTAATATATATTCCAAATAGCCTAGCACTGATTACTGTGGCAGTCCACCAGCTAAAGGTTGCCATCTTGAAGGTGCCCCTCTTATTCCAAATATCTTCTGTTAGTTAGCCAATTCTCAGTCAGTGCTAATATACTAGCTCCAACACCATGGGCTGTTATATTTTTAAGTAGCCTAATATGTGGTACCTTATCAAACACCTTTGAACATCCAAATATATTATATCCACTGCTTGCCCTTTCCCCTTGCTTGTTACCTCAAAGAATTCTAATAAATTTACCAAGCATGATTTTCCTTTTGTGAAGCCGTGCTCACTCTGCACAATCAAATTATGTACTTCTAAATGGTCTGCTATTGCATCCTTTATAAGAGACTCTAATACTTTCCCAGTAAGAGACATTAAGCTAATCGTCCTGTAGTTACTGATTTTTGTCTCCTTGCCTTTTTAAATAAAGGTATTATATTGACAGTTTTTCTATTCTTGGGGACTTTTCCAAAATCTAAGGATTCCTGGATCATTACTACTAGTGCATCAACTATCTCAATAGCTACTTCCTTTCAGATCCTAGGATGCATCCCATCAGGTTCAGGAGACTTGTCAGTCTTCAGCCCCTGATAATTTCCCTAGCACTTTTTCTCTTGTGATAATTGTTGCATTTATTTCCTCTTTTTGCCTTCTGATTGTTAGTAATTTTGGAATGCCATTAGTGCCTTCAACTGTGAAGGAGTTTGCAAAATATCTATTCAACTCCTCTGTCATTTCGTGGTTCTCCATTATAATTTCCACAACTTTTTACTCAAAGAAGCCTATGTTAATTTTGGCCTCTGTCTTCTTACATAATTAGAGAAGCTCTTGGTCTCTGTTGTTGCGTTACTTGCAAGTTTACCCTTAATGTTAATCTTCTCCCTTAGTTGAATATTGTTGGTTTTTAAAACTTCCCTAATCCAAAGGAGTACCGTTAATCTTTGCTACATTGTATATTTTTCTTTAAATTTGATCATGTCTTTACCTTCCCTGGTTAACCATTTTTGGTTTCTCCCCTTCTTGGAATTCTTCTTTCTTATTAGGATATATTTTTGATGTGAGCCATGAACTATTTTCTTAAATGTCTGCTATTTCTCCTCGACTATTCTTTCAGTTAGACTTCTTTCCCAGTCCACTCCGGCTACCTCTGCCCTCATTTCTTTATAATTGCCCTTATTTAAGCTGAGCTCAGTTGTTTCTGACACAGGTTTCTCCCTCTTAAACTGAATGCTAAATTCCACCATGTTATGATCACTGTTTCTTAGTGGATCTTTTACTTTGACATCACTTATTAAACTTTCCTCATTACACATCACCGGACCCAAAATAATCTGATCCCTGGTTGGATTCACAACATAATGTTCTAGGAAACTAAAATACACTCTATGAATTCTTCCTCGTGGCTACCTGTACCAATCTGATTTTACCAAACTACATGAAGATTGAAGTCACCCATGATTAATATATTGTCTTTTTCACATGAGTTCATTATCTCCTGATTTATTCATTGTCCCATTGTGTAGCTACAGTGAGGGTTTTAGAGACTTCTCCTGCAATGTCTTCCCTTTTTATTTCTTACCTCCACCCATATGGATCCCACATTCTCCAATCCAAGATCATTTCTTGCATTCATTCTTAATCCATCCCATACTAACAATGCTACCCCACCATCCTTTCCTTTCTGTCTGTCCTTTCAAAAGAGCACATAGTGTTGAACATTTAGTTCCCAGTTTGTTCTCTTTGTAACAATGTCTGTATAATGGTTATATGGTTCTACCCATTAATCCGACTTTGTGTATTAATTCATTTACTTTGTTCTTATTACTGTGCACATTCAAATAAGGATGTATTAATTTTGCCTTTTTTGTAATTTTATTGCCCCTTTGACCCTATTTATTGTTATTTTTCTATGTTTACATAATCTGTCTCTTCCTGTCCTATTCTGGATTACGCAAAGAACAATAGTGCTGCCTCCTATTTTTTAAGCCTACATTTCCCTTCTTCCAGTGCCCTTCCCCTACTCAATTACTTTACTCAAAACTCTCTATAGCCCTAGCTATTCAGTTCTCCAGGACACTGGTCTCAGCATGTTTCAAGTGAAGCTTATCCCACTAGAACAGCTCTTTTCTCTCCTGATACTGCTGCCACTGTTCCAGAAATGAAAACCATTCCATCCACATCAACCTTTGGACCACATATTTAACTCCTTTTCTTTAATTATCCTATGCAAATTTTCCCATGACCCAGGGTGTGATCCAAAGATTATTATCTTGAAGGTTATGTCCAAACTGCTCAAAGTCTTTCAGGAAAAAAAGCCTTTTCTAGCCTTGCCAGTGTTGTTGATTCCAATGTGGATGATGAGGACTGAATCACTCCCCTAGCTATCCAAATTCTTCTCCAGCCCTGAGGAAATGTCCTTAACCCTGGCACCGGATAGGCAACATAGTCCTTGGGATTCCTGCTCACTGATGCAAAGAACAGTGTCTGTCCTTCTAATTTATACTGTCCTCTACTATTACTACATTCCTGTTTCCTCTCCCCACTTGAATGTCTCCCTGTGTAGACATAGAAACAGAAAATAGGACCACCGGGTTTAGGCCATTTGACACTTAGAGCCTGCTCTATCATTCATGGCTGATCGTGCAACTCAATAGCCTATTCCTGCTTTTCCCCATATCCTTTAGTTCCTTTAGCCCCAAGTGCTATATCCAACTCCTGTTTGAAATCATAGAACATATTGGCCTCGACTGTTTTCTGTGGTACTGAATTCAACAGGCTCACCATTCCCTGGCAGAAAGAATTTATCCTCATCTCAGTCCAAAAAGGTTTACCCTATATCCTTAGACTGTTACCCCCGGTTGTGGACATCCCCACCATTGGGAACATCTTCCTGCATGTACCCTGTCTAGTCCTTGTTAGAATTTAATAGGTCTCAATGACAACTAACCTCACACAACAACCACCCCGCCCTCCCAATTTTTCAGATTCCGGTGAGTATAATCCTAATTGATTCAAACTCTCCTCACACATCAATCTCACCATCTCTGGAGTCTGTCTGGTGAACCC